GAAACACATTCCAAAAACCATTAAAGATGTAGTCAAGACACCACAAAAGTAAATTATACGAGTTCAATAGCATAAAAAAGTGACTGCGTAGTAGATTATAAAAAGAGAAGCTATAGAGGAGAAGGGTACAGATAAAAGTAATAGAATCACAAAATCAGAGAAAATTAGGGTTGGAAGGGACCTCAGGAGGTCATCTAGCCCAACCCCGTGCTCAAAGCAGGACCATCCCCAACTAGATCACTCCCGCTAAGGCTTTGTCTAGCCAGGTCTTAAAAACCTCTAAGGATAGAGATTTAACCTCTCTGGGTTACCTGTTCCAGTGCTTTACTACTCTCATCATGAGATAATTTTTCCAAATATCTAACCTAAACATCCTTTTCTGCAACTTGAGCCCATTAGCTGAGACCATAATACTTGTATATTGGCAGTTTTTACTAGGTCCCCCAGTAGAAATGCAAAGTCTATATGAGACCTAACTCGCAAAAGGTGGCAAGGAAGAGGAAGACCCACCCATCCTTTGTGTTAATGGTGTAGAACAGGGTTGTACTTGGAGGCCTAAATACTTAGATATCTAATAGATGAACAAGGATTTGGCCCTTAGTAGGTCTGCATCAGTGTCTTTTTGAGGCTTTCACCAGACTGCTGCTTCCTCTAGTGTTTTTTATTTATTGTTTGTTTGTTTGGGTTTTTGTGTTTGTTTGTTTTACTACAAGTCTCTGTTAATTATTGTTTCTAGGAAAGTTTCCCATACAGCAGTGCTTCTGCAGAGCTTTCTAAGTAAAGAGAATTTGTTGGTACCTGGTCACTATTTATCTATACTTTGTGTAAGCCTTCCTGGGAAATCCACTGTATTTAGGAGGGATCCCACTGGAAAGAACCTAAAGATTTTTTTAAGACAGTCAAAAGTGTCATAGGCACTAACTGGATGCTTTTATTTCCATGACTAATGAAATATTAAGCTGCTGCAGAAACATGTCAGGAGGCTTTATTAATTGTAACTAAAAATAATAACACTACTACATTTAGAAATGATAAATTCTAGAGAAAAACATATAACTGTATGGAAATAACTGACAGTTCACATGGAGAGCACCACTGCTATATATTAATTGGTTCAGGAGATGAGTGTAGAAATTACAGCTGAATGAACCCTGCAAGATATGGTTCATGAAGGGCCTGTTTCCTAGGGTAAGTGACAACATTACTCTTGGAGGTTAATTTGAAGGTTCAAGTTCTTTAGGCACCCGGATTAATTTCTGCTGCCCAAGAGTAGCCATTATGGTTTGGCAGATTTACCAAAAAGAGAGGGTACAATGGCATAATGAGAGAAACAAACTTTAATTTCTGTAATTTCATCCACAGCTCCACATGTGCCTTTCTGCTGGATGTACAATGTACAAGAGTATATTATATTAACATACACTTCCATCACTTCTGCCTAATAGTCTCTTCCTACTTTGATCAGTGTGCCTTACAACTCTTGCCAGACAGGTTTGTGGCCACCTTGACACTTTTCCTGTTGGAGTTTTTACTAGCCAAGATTTTATATCTGATGTCTGAAATGGTCTTAACTTTCTTCCCCTCCAAGTTGCTGAAGACAAAACCATTTTCTTTTCTATTTTTTCTGTCTGCCTATCCCGCTTTGATATCCTACTTCGCTACAACCAAAAACCCAGTATTCCACTTCAAGATACTGCTTAGGGTTTCCCATTGTTCTGTTTGTCAAGGTTACCTTATCGAACCTCATGAGATTTCTTTTGGTCCAATCCTGCAAATGTCTTTACATGTAGAGTTATGAGCAACATTTAAAAAAACAATTTAATAATACAGCTTTCTCCCATAAATCAAAGTAGAACTTTCCTTAATGCATAGCAACATGTCTTTACTAAAATAAACCATAAGTCTATCATTCTTGCTCTATGGTCCAGCTAGTATCCCAATTCCAACAGTACCAGCTACTTGCAAAGAAGGTACAAAAGTCTCAGCAGAATAAGCTTTCCATTCAAGAAGTTTTTAAAATAATATTAGTCAGAGGCTAGCCTCAGGCCTTAGGCCATTAGCCAGCGGAGTTGAGTCAGCATACTGGAAGCACATAATGTCATATATTCACAGAAGTATATTTTTTGCCCTCAAACAATGTCTCTTGAATTAGGTTGTTGCACTCACAGGAAGATGTGGCTTAAAAATTAACCTAAAGCCCATAATAGACAAACTTCCGCACACACAGATCTGACAATACTCCAGTTCACAAGAGTCTTCTCCAGAGCTTCATTTAATCAATTTGTGAGTATAATTAAAATTTTCCACCACTAAGACTACACAGTCATACTACTTGTCACAAGAAGAGAATGAGTCACCAAAACTGATCTGGATACAGTTGCTAAAAAATGATGTAGGGAGAGAGTGGGTCTGATTCTGATTTCATCTGGAGAGATACTGGGATGCCTTAAAAGCCAGGCTTTTACAGACTTCAATTAACATAAAGTTAAATAGGAAGGGTTTGTGCAACTGGAACACTAGGGATCATGTGCGCTATAAAGTACAGACCATCTTTCTGTTATGAGTGTGTGTACAGTTCCTAAAGGGATGCTAATCCCACACTGGGGAACTTAGGAGATACTACAGTATAAATAATCATGAAGCATTATTAGTAATAACAACTGCATAGATGTGGCAGAGAAGGAAACTTAGAAAAGAGTTGGAGATGGCAATGAAAAACACTGCAGGGTCATTTTACCCAGATGAAGAAAGAGGCTAAATCTTTTTCTCACAACAAACAGACTTTCTTTGAGCAGTTCAGCTTTTGTGAAGGTTATTTGAAAGATTAACTTCCTCTCCCTCCCACCCCACCTTGTTTTCAGATAGGTCATTTCCTTGCATTCAGCTAGCTTTTATGTACTATCGAAGGCTTTTGCCAGCAAATTACAATGGATAAAAAGCTACAAAAATTGCTCAGAAAATAGAATCGTGATGAATTACTAACTGGAACTGCAACAGAAGATTTTCCAAAACAGCCCTACTGAGAACCTCTAATCACCTCTGTTACGATTATCTTACCATCAACTTTTTTAACCCTGTTGAAAAATGTCTCTATGATTGTAAGAGCAAATTGACTGGTACATCATGAAAGTGATGGAAAATACATGAAAGTAATAGTCATTACTGTTTATGAAACAAAATGCCATGGGATTTATCCTAACTGAAACCTTTAGCAAGTTATACATATAAAAACAGCAATGATAATGTTGCAAAAAATATTACAAATTCCTGATTAAAAAAGAGATGTTTTCAAACCTGGAAGCCAAAAATAGGCTCCTAAATTCACATATAAACACATAAAATAGAAATTGGTCAACTTTTAGATATGCAGAAATCCCAGTGAAATCAGTTTGGATTGCAGGTTTCTAGAAATCCAGGCTGTGTACAAATTAGGCCACTTTTGTTTATGAGAGCATAATTTCAGGCAACTGGCTTTGAAAATTATGGCTTATGGATTTAAATGGTTAAACTCTCCTGATAGATTTTGTGAAACATTTTGATTTTTCTTAAATGACCTTATTAAGGAGTTCAGGAATCTATATATATAAAGGGCTTAGTCCGTCTGTGTGTGTTTCTGTCTGTCTGCAAAGCTCATGGAGCATTCTGACTGGTTGTTTCAACAGCCATTCACAATGCTTACTGAAACAACCAATCAGAGTGCTCTGCACAGACAGACAGTGGACTCGAAGGACGGGGGTGTCCTGGGGCCAGACGTAGAGCAGAGGGTAGGGTGGCACACAGCTGGAGCAGCGGCTGTGCAGGGCAGTAAGTGGCGGCAGCTACCCACTGCCCCATGCTGGGGGAGGAGTGCAGGGCGGGGGTAGGGCACTGGGGCCAGATGTGGGGGGGGTGCAGGGCTGGACATGGAGCAGTGGCAGCATGGGCTGGTGTCTGGTGGCAGCAGCCACTGTGTGCAAGCTCCCACCTGCCTACCCCTGCTCCTGGGAGGTGGCAGCGGTTCAGAGTGGTGGTGTATGGCACTCTGTGTGTCCTCCCCCCACAGTAACTCTTGACGGGCAAGTTGCTAGTATAACATATCCCCATATTCCTCTGCATGGACTATCCATATCACAACTCACAGAACAGTGGGGAGGGAAGTTTCCTTACAGCCACCATTCACATTCTGTACAGATAACTATATATGAGTTAGGAATAGACTAAGCCTTTAATCTATTCTCTTGGGTGCCAACACAGAAGGAAAGTGATGTTTACTTAGGAATGGCCTGGCATGGGATTTGCCCATACCAGGGAGTCTCCCCATGAGGCAATGCAGAGAAATTTACTGCTAACTTTCCACAGATTAAATACATAGGGAGCAAACTGGCCAAGAAAAGCTGGCCCTTTATTTCCTGGCACCTGATTCCCCTTAGTGTGCAAAAGCTCAGTACATTTTTCCTATGACAGATTCATTATTCACTCATATAAATCACTACTGTTATGATGTTCTGACAAGACCTAATTGGCCTCTTGCTCTGAAAATGTAGTGGTACACCTATGACAACGCAGAAAAATTTTTAGAACAGATCTTAGTTTCTTTCTAGTGTAATGTTATTTTCAGAGGCTTATTGCTTTAGTATGGTCAATTACAAAATGTTAGCCCTGCTAGGCATGCAAATATGATTCACAAGATAAACCTAGAGATTTAAAATTGGAATCCAGTATCAAAAGCATCTGACTTCTGGGGTCTTTCTGAGTTCTTGGTAACAGAAGAATGTCTCTGTTATTTTTCTGTAGTCAAAAATGAGTGCAAACCAAGAGCTAATATTTTCCAAAAGGTGCCTTGAGTCTCCTGAGGTGTGCTTTGAGTCTAAAAATGTTATATATATATAAACATTTTCCTCTTCCCCTTCCACCCTGAAAAAACTGGTTTATTGGTAAAAAGGCATTTCTCCCCTTCTTGTCACAACTACAAAAAATAACTAAGGCTGAAATGACTCTGTGTGTGTGTATACACACACACACACACACACACTTAAATAAATTTATACGCACACACACACACCAACTTGAGCCAAATTTGGAGGCCTTGAAGTCATGGTTCTAAATCATGAAAAAAATGTGTTTTTGTTTGTTTTAAATGTTGAAATGTTGTTTCCCTTTTCCTTGAAATCTCCATGTCTCAAGAAAGCACCGTCAGTTTCAAAAGCTGCACCTGGTCAGTCTGTGCAGCTGAAATCAACAAGATTTTTGTCCAAAAGAATTTTAAAAAGCAACACTAAAATATGGAGGAATTCCTATGGTTCTATTTTTACTCTTCAAAGGGCAGGTCCTGAAATTGCTAAGGCTGCATGAAGGAACAGGGTCTCTTTTCAGGATCAATTTGTTCTGCCACAGCTAGTTTTCATGTTGGCATGTTGTCTGTTAAAAGAAAATGAGTGAGATAATCAATGTTCTTTTCTCTAGGGGGCATCTTTCTAGAAGTGTCCCCACCTTAAATATAAAGTATTGAGATTGCTGAAAATGGTTAACACCTAAAATCAGAGCCATCATTTTAAATGTACCTGGTGTTTGTAAACAATAAATCATATATGTACTTACTGGAGAATGTTTTATTATCTTTAAATTTCTCATTCATTTACTGGACAAACACAGTCCTGCTTAACTTATGCGATCTGGCACTGCTCAAAGTTGTCATGGGTGCAGGCTGTAATATTACTGTTCCCACTGGACAAAAGTGCTCTCTCACAGTACCCTGGAGTAATTCTATTTTTAATGTATGTGCTTTTTAATTCATACCAAGTATTAACATACACATGCAACACTAAAAGGAGGAAATAGAAAATATCCAGGGTTAAATATTCTGAACCACATTTTGCCTTTAGAAACACATGATGGAATCCAGACAATACTCACTCTTTCTGTATAGATGTTATATAATAATATTCTAGATGCTAATCACACTTTCATTATAGTGAAGCATAAAGGGAAAAATGGCCACACATGGTACCTTTCAGTTGCCTTCTGTTTCAGTGCAAACATCACCCGCATACAGAAAATAATTTAGCCCTAAATATTTTCCTAGCTTAACTTACATTTTTACAATCCACAAAATTGCAGGCACTTGTATATGCACTTGTTTTTTATAGGCAGATATGCCTGACACATGCATAACTTTTAGATTCACCTGAAGTGAATGTTCATTAAGAACCTGAACCTAAAGCCCATTGAAGTCCATGAGAAGTTCACCATTGAATTTATTGGGCTTTGGAACTGGCTTATTTTGCTACTCCATTAGGGGCTGGGGTGGTGCAGGCATCAAGGCACACTTTGAGAGTGTATAAGTTGCAAGTTCACAGGCCACAGCAGAAGTGCTCATGGCACAGCCTCTCAGATTCCAGAAAATCTGTGAATTCTGCTAAGTACCTTGTCACGGGACACAACAAAGATTTTGGTTTTGTGACAAAGTGCTCCTTTTTAGAAAAATAAAATAAAAAAGCCCAGAGAAAGAGTTAAAACTAAAGGCATCAGATCAAATTATCTATCAATAAAGGATACTTCTGGGCTACAGGGAGGTAGGCTGGTCTTTTAATTGAAGTCACTGATTTATCAGCAAGATGTAGCAGCGTGAGTGAATGAGTCTGCTTTCCAATGGAGAAATTATCAGAGACAGATACAAATACAGAAGACTGATTAAGGAAAGCTTGGCTGTTATTAAAAAAATAAAAAAAATAAAAAAAAAACCATCAGGGAAGGCAGCAATTTTGCATAGGAGTGAGCACAGAAATGTGGAGGAAGTACAAGGTGACAGTCTGCACAAATTCAAAGCCAAACACTGCTATCAGTAGCCATGCTGATTCAATCAAAGTCATACTTGTGAACTGCCCTTTGTAGGGCTTTTACAGTTCGCTTCTCCTACTGGAACGCAAAGAGGCTGATAATTAGAATGTCAGGATATTATAGCTGGTTCCCAGATGGAGAACAGTGCTTACAACACTTTACAAACACCTGGAAAATAAGAGGGCTGATGCTGGGGAAAACAATTACCTACAACTAGACTATACTCATAAGAGCAGTCCTTTTGAACTACTTTGAGAGTTAAGATTCCCAAGCCTGAGACTTCAAATGGCCTAAACCAAAGCAAATCAGATATAAGACCATTTGTATGCTATCAAAACTGAAAAGGTATCTCTTTACCAGCAAGTGTGAATGGTAGTTAAGGATATGTCTGCACTGCAATCCAGAGATACCAGTACATCTTGTATAGCTAATATCTGAATTAAGTGTGAACTAGCTAGTTTTGGTTTGTTGTAAAAGACCTTCAGAGCAGGCTGTACAAATGCTCCCAGGATCTTTAGGTAAATAGCCAGAAGCTAGAGCTTGAACTACTACAGCTAGACTGATAATGTCACTGAGCTGGCTCATTCAAGTATGTCCACATGAACTGTAGTCACACCAACTGTGTACTGAAGTACTGAAACAGGTTTGTTCCCTTTCACCATATTGCAGGTGCTCTGAGGTTACATCTATGCCATACCTCTGCTAATGCTAAGCGAGATGGATGCTCCTTAACAAGCCCCATCCACCTGCTTTGTGAAAACTCAAAAATGTGGTAAGCAAACCTCTTTGCAGGCACCACTCTGCAGCTGCTCCTGAGGCCTTGCTCGCCTGTATGCTTGAGGCTAGCTCCAGAACTGCCAGGGTTTGGTAAGTACAAGCTGGAGTGGATGGGGAAGGTGCACTGGGGAGCACGTTTCCCTGGCAGTTGTGGGAAGGCAGCGTAAGCACACCTATGTTCTAAGAAAGTCAACATGCATAAAGGCACGTGCTAGCAATGAAACAGTGGTTTCATAGTTTCTAGGGTCGGAAGGGACCTGAGTAGATCATCTAGTCCGACCCCCTGCCATGGCAGGAAAGATTACTGGGGCCAAACGACCCCAGCAAGGTGTTCATTAACCTCCTCTTAAAGACCCCCAGGGTAGGAGCCAGCACCACTTCTCTTGGAAGTTGGTTCCAGACCCTAGCCGCCCTGACCGTGAAGTAGCGCCTCCTGATATCTAGCCTAAATCTACCCTCTACCAGCTTGTGACCATTACTCCTGGTCACTCCTGGCAGTGCTCGGGGGAACAGGGACTTCCCCAGTGCCTGCTGATTACTCCTGACTAGTTTGTAACAGGCCACTAGATCCCCCTCAGCCTTCTCTTCTGGAGGCTGAACAGGTTCAGGTCCTGTAGCCTCTCCTCATAGGGCCTGCCCTGCTGCCCCCAGATCATGTGAGTGGCCCTCCCCTGGACCCTCTGCATGTTGTCCACATCCCTCTTGAAGTGCGGTGCCCAGAACTGGACGCAGTACTCCAACTGTGGCCTGACCAGTGTTGCATAGAGGGGGAGGATCACCTCCTTGGACCTGCTCGAGATGCATCTGTGGATGCATG